CATCCATCCATCCATCCATCCATCCATCCATCCATCCATCCATCCATCCATCCATCCATCCATCCATCCATCCATCAGAACTTGGAAGTGTCACCAGTCCATCAAAGGGACATTGAACATCAAACAATTCAGTATAACTCATTAGAACCTACATTTTCTGTCCAAGAATTTGATAAATTAAACAAAAACACTAGCCTGGCCCTTGCCTTCCTACACAGTTCCACTCGRTTCTAGTTTCCCTTCACTGCWACGTCTGGGATTTCTACCATCGACAAGGAATTCTCCCCTAGAATTTCTCCGGTAGACAGTTTCACAAGCAATTTCCATTTAGCGTCTTAGCTTCCTWMACCTTCCTGCACCTAGCTGGAGCACTACATATGTCACGGCCAAATGTTAGCGATTGGTTAAATCAGATCCAGTCATTTTAAACTTCAACAGAGGCCACACCTCCAGCAAGAAAACACTTCTTAATAGCCGAGGTTCCAGACCCTCTGTACGAAGCAAAGCGTAGGACAAAGGGCTGGTTTTTAACAGGCTCCAAAAACACCAAAAAACAATCCTATATAAATGTATAACTTAGGACAAAAGCTGACAGTCAATGTGCCAAACACTATAAGTATAGTTGTCTCTTGTATGGTTCTGTACAAATGTTTTAACCAATTCACAACTTCGTTTCAAGAAGCCAAACTTCAACTTTTTAAGTGACCTTGATAAATAGTTCTTTGGGTTTTCTAAAGACATTTTCACTCACTTGCTGTACAGTTTGACCATGACAACATATTGTGTGTGCTACATATAATTAGGACTGTGGACAAGTGGAGAACAACAAATAAAAGATCTGCAACAGATGAAAAGTTTCCAAATATTGTGTAGGTTAGGCAGCTAGAAAATAAAAATGAAGCCAAGACCATCATCCTGATTGTTCATCATCTATTGTGTGCCCTGTTTCAGTTAACAGCTCTTTGGGAATCACTGTGTTGGTACAAAAATACTATTTTATCTTTGTTAAACTGCGGTATCTTAGAAAAATGTCACGCAGCTCAAAGGAATTAGAACAAATTGTCTGTGTGATAGGTTAAAAATGTTTTTTTTTTTGGATTGACACAACTTCATCTTTTGAATTTAGGAGCTTTTTTGTGCCTGAATTATTTTTAGATTTAAGCAGTAAAATAAAATAAAAAAAACCTAAGAAAAAAAAGAAACTTTGAAGAACATTCAAAACTCCTAAAGAACTATCGAGTAAAATGTTTTTGAAAATTCTGCGGGATGGCTCAAGGTTTTTACACAATACTGCATTTAGAAGTAGAGATGCATTCTGGAGGCTGGAGAAAAAATTAAAAGCAGATATTAGGATGTGCAGGCTGTAAAATTGCATATGTTACAATGGATCCATTAAATGAATAGACTTTAAATTAATGTGTGCTTAAAATAAAAACAGATTAAATATTTATTGTTACAGTATTCTTAGAATTTTTCTTCTTTTTGAAATGACTGCTAATGTCAAACAAATTCTAAAACTGATCTGAACTCACATTAATTTTTTTGTAAATTAACAATATCTTTTATATTATTTCTTATTAACAATGAATTACACTCACTGGCCACTTTATTAGGTACACCTGTCCAACTGCTCGTTAACACTTAATTTCTAATCAGCCAATCACATGGCG